GAAGGATGCAATTGAAGATAAGCGGCCGGCATTAGCAAATCGGAAGGGTGTTGTTTTCCATCATGATAACACAAGGCCCCACACATCTTTGGTTACTCGGCAAAAATTATTGGAACTGGGTTGGGATGTTTTGTCACACCCACCATATAGCCCTGACCTTGCGCCTTCGGATTACCATTTGTTTCGTCCAATGCAAAACTCTTTAAATGGTAAAATTTTTAACAACGCGGATGATGTCGGATCACACCTAATTCATTTTTTTAATAGCAAAGACCAGACATTTTACGAACGGGGAATTTTTACTCTGCCAGAACGATGGAAAAAGGTCATCGACAAGAACGGCCAATATCTAATTGAATAAAGTTATATTTTTAAACGAAAATTCCGAATTTGCCTTCTTATTTGAAATCGGCAATGACTTAGTTGCCAATCTAATACTAGCAAACTGGTGCGACAACAATGGAATGTTAATAAACACAGCAAAAACTGCATTCCAAACTTTTTCTTTGGCCCATCACAGCATAAACCCGCTTCTAAGGTACAAGGATACTACCCTAGATAAAACCAATGAGTTCACATATCTCGGAATGACGTTTGACACAAAGCTAACGTGGAAAAGTCACATTGTTAAAATAGCAGAACGAGTCTCCAATAGACTGAATGTACTGAAGCGATTTGCTGGTAGCGTATGGGGCTGTGCACGCTCAACTCTCAACACCACTTACAAGATGTTTATTCAGCCAATAATGTTGTATTGCTGTAAGCCACTCATTACAGCCACAGAGGTGACTCTCAAACCACTGGAGGGGTAAAATCAGCACCCATTGATGCAATGCTCCTAGTTACAGGAAGTACCACAATATGTTCCCTTATCCATGAGAAGGCCTTGATCCTGTATGAGAAGCAACTGTGCATTCCCATGGATAAGTTCTTCAGCACCTATGAGAATAGACCAAGACATCTGAAAACGCAATTTGGTCTAATACAGAAAGCCATAGAACTGAAGAAAGCATTACAAATCGATGACAAACCAAAAAGCCTCTCTCTCTCCACGAATCCATTATCAGACGCTGATGTAGTGTGTTGCACCCAACTGCTTGACATCTCCAGGACATCAAACACCCCTCCAGAGCAAATGCGCTCACTGGCCCTTGAGACAATCAATGTCAACTATCCTGCAGATCAATGACTCCACTCTTCACTGATGGGTCATACATAGAAAACCAAGCAAACATGGTGCAGGTGAGTCATACATAGAAAATCAAGCAAACATTGGTGCAGGTGTCTAGAAAAAACGTTGGTGCAGGTGATCTATTCTAGAAAGCCAAGCAAACGTTAGTGCAGGTGTCTACTCTGAACTCTTCTCCTTCTACGCAGCAGCAGGACACAATAGATCCGCTTTTGAAGCGATATTAGGATAGCACTATGCCAATTATGTTGCCTGGACACCCATTAGGATAGCACTATGCCAATTATGTTGTTTGGATACGAAATTCACCAAGGCGGTGATACTTTCGAACTCACAGTCAGCAATAAACTCTATTGGAAACAGAGAGACACAGAAAACAGCTGAGATAAAGGAATGTAGAAAACTCTATCAGCTGCTGAGAGAGAAAAACAAAACAGTGGTCCTACAATGGATATCTAGTCACTGTGGCATTAAAGGCAATGAGCTTGCTGACACACTTGCTAAGAAGGGGATAACGATATTGCAATGCATGGACCGACAGATGTGTTATTAAACCAACAAGAGTTATCGCCACAAAAAGCAGTATAAACTTTATTTACACAAGCATCGAAATATATACATACATGATACATACAATAAAATAGTCAAATTTAGTCCACCTTTGGCCGCTTTGCAGAAGGCTCAAAGTTTTCAACATCCCAAGCCTCCTCAAATGCAGTACAAATGCGGGAACATGCTTGAGCACCGGAAAGGGGGAACCGACTAATTGAAACAACCTCATCAAGGAAATCTCCAGCAGTTGAAACAACCGAACCATGCGCCATTGCGCCGATGACAACCACCATAGACTCCGAAGTCCCAGATTTTACCATATGGGGGATTTCATTGGGCCTAACTACCTTCTCGGCAGAAAATGATGTTCCGATTTTGTAACAGCCAGCAGGGAAGTAACGAGTTATCGGATTTTTTACAACCTTAAGTAGCTTTTCATGACTCCCTTCAGAGGCATGTATGGACATTTTGTGAAGTAATTGTACCATCAGTCCACAAAATCTGTCAAAAGTTCTCGGTATTCTTGTCTTGGGATTGACTTCAATTATAATATTCTTCTGCGTCCTTATATACACCTTCAAAATAGATAGGCGTTAACTTACAAATGGTGTTCAATTTGGATGAAAAAGTTTTGCAATAAAGTCAATGTAAGCCTCATACAAAAATTCAGCTGTATATTTACCTGATTTTTACAACACGATGTCAAACAACAACATGTGAACAAATCAGGAAGGAATAAAAATTTTTATAATTACCTGTAGCAATCCCATTCTGTTGAGTGGACTGTCCATAAGCATGAGGAGACACTGGTGTGTTATATCCGGTCGAACCGTTGCGACATCACGACCAGCTCTAACAATTCTATCTTTGTGCTTATCTGGATTTAGTAACTGATATTCTTTCCCACCGGCACCTTTAACAGATTCTAAACAAGCCTGATCTAAGATCACGATAAGCTTCCGACTGGAAGAGCCAACATCGGGGTCCGCACGTCTCATTTCAAATAACGTGGATAACCGAAGAGTAGTAAACAATCGGCAAAAGTTTGGAACACTGTACAGAAAAAATGTTATTGAAAAAAAACTAAAATACTTCAGAAAGAAATAATTATATTAATTATTTTTATTGCTAAAAAAATTACAATTATTAATCAACAAATTAACAGAGCAAAAAGGAAACTCGGTCAGGGGTGAAAGTATGTAAATATTCCACTAATGTTCTCTGTTCATTAGCAACCATCGACATTTCGGTAAGCTAGCAATAGATTTTTTATTAGGATTTTAATAGGTGCTGCTTATTCAACTAACCCTATAACGCAAATATAGCAACCATGTCGAAAAGTGTAAAATTCGAGACTTTGCTGAGTTTGTGTGCGTTGGCATATCAAACTGAGGTAATTGGGAAAAAATAAATAAATAATATTTATTTACTATCGATATAAGCGACCGAATTTTCGAATTCCAATTTACCAAGCTCCAAGTAGCGAAGGTTTTGCAAATTTTTAGCTAAAATTCCTTTCCTTGCCAGATAAGATCATAAATATATTATAAAGATGCGGACGCCTATAAAGCTAACTCAATATAATGGATCAGTTAGGCACTTAAGATGCCATAGGATAATAAAGAAGAGTTAAAAAGTTTAAAATATACATATATATATATATATATATATATATATAGATGTATATCAAGGAAAAATGATATTTAATTCAATTAAAAGCTTCGGCAAAACACAAACACGTGCATGAAAGCGTCCAGCGTTGACGCTGTATTGCACAGAATTTAATAAAATCGCAGAAAGTTATAACAGCAAAAGGGCAATAGTATAAGCAGAGTAAAATTACTCGCATGGTAACATCAAGAAGCAGTTTTACATATTAGAAAAAACACCCAGATTATCATAGATTTATACAAGATAGCCAATAGAAGAACTCATAAAACGTTGAATAAGAATTCATTTTATTTCAGAAATAATAAAATTCATATTATAACAAGGTTATTGAAACAATATACGTGTATATCTAAATTTGAATAATAGATTAAAATTTGAAATGACTTTTATTTTTTTTCTTCAACATAATCACAGTGTGGCATTGCCAATTTGTGCAATATAATCATTTGTTAAAGTGAATTTCCTGGCCTACATAGCTTCGCAGGATTTTGTAATATCGTGATGGGTCCTAAGGGTGGTAAGTTTTATCAATTATTTCGTCTTTTATTTTTCAAATGACTTATCCCATGTACCATTTCAGAACTAATAGAGCGTTACGTTTCAAACAAACTTGGGGATGATTGTAGTGGTGATGGAAGTGAGGAGCATCCCTACAAAACTCTTCGCAGATTGTTTGAGGTCATGACCCTTGAAAAGGTTCCACAATTGAAGATTTATGTGGATGCGACTGAAAAACCGGAGGAAAAGTGGGCTGAGATATCAAAAACTCAGCTGAAGAAGAAAATGAAAAACTATAAAATTCAGTCGCAGAAATCAGCCGCATCTGGCGAAACTGCTACTGGCACTCCTGCTGAGTCGACTGTTACTTCTGCCCCTTCTGCAGTTGAAATTAAAGAGGATTTGAGTTTGCCTGCAGCTATCAAATCTAAAATTTGCAATCTTCAAACT